GTACTCCAAATCGTACAGTTTTTCTGCAACTGCCCATTCAATACCTACATTTTGGAGACCACTTAGTGTGTTCTCTAGTATTTTGTCTATGACGAAATTAAACAGGAATGGCGAAATATGGCACCCTTGACGAACATCGCTGTTAGTTACGAACGATCTACTCAGCTCGCTGTAGACCATTACGCTACCAGAAGTATGTGAGTAAAGTGAACTCAGTATATTCACATACTTCTGCGGTATTCCTTTGCGAAGGAGTGAACCTATAAGGGATTCACGATCAACTGAGTCGAAGGCTCCTTTTAGGTCAAGGAACACAAAAACTGTTGATTGACGGTGCGTATGGCGTAGCTCGAGGACTTGACGCAGAGTGAAGATCTGATCGATACAACCGCGACCCGGTCGAAATTCTGCTTGTTTTTCGCGGATGTTTGTCTCCCTGAACGGTGCCAGACGTCGAAGTATGATGGGGGCTAGTAACTTGGTGGTTTACGCAGTCGTTGTGAGATCCTTTCTTAAAAATTGGAACGATCATTGATTCGCTCCAGGATGATGGAATGCGGTCGCGTGACCAGATGTCAGTNGTCTATGAGGTTATCGCCCCTCATCTTGAAAAGAGGGGTGAGGAAGCCCGTCCGGTCCTGCTGCTTTTCCTTTCTTCAGGGCTTGGATGCAAGAACGAACTTCTGCTGCGGTAGGATGTTCAGATGACACTGCACAAGGAACCTCAGCTACACCGGAGGTTAGCGCCTGGTCAGCTGAACTGTTCGTTTAAGTACTCTGCCCACCGGTCAAGCCGCTGTTCCCTACTGTGAATAGCTTGTCCACTTTTGTCGCAGATTGTTTCGCTAACTGTGGTTCACCGACCTCCTGTATTGCGTATCAGTCTTTGACTATTCCCTGATGCAGGTGCTACTTCTATTTCCCTCGCTATCGTTGCCCGCCAGTTCTCACGATCTTTCTTGAGGCTCTGTTTTAGTTGATGTTGCAGACGCCAACTAACCCTGCCTTGATCCCAGGCGGTCGGGATTTTCCGCATTTTCTCCAGTGTTACTGACTCGTCAATATCCAATGCCTCGGTCGGGCTACCGCTTCAGATCCACAAGCAACCTTCGCTGTGAAGTGCGTTGCTCGGCTAATCTGATCCCATTGTTCATCTACACTACCACCCCGGAGCGCATTTAGCTTTTGCCCTAGTTTTGATGCAAAACAGATACGAACGGCTGGGTCAGGTAAGCGATGATCTGCCAATCGAGTTTGGCTTTTGACTCAGTCGACCGCTCTAAACTCTGGCGCTGCCTTTTTCTAAAAGGTGTGCCCGAGAAGTTAATTTGAATATTACGATCGCTTTATACTAATAACCGAAGTCGAGTCCGGGCTTACGGCACTTTTCCACCCGAGTTCACCACGGAAAGTGGTGTTCGTCAGGGTTGCCCTCTCTCTCCGTTTCTATTTAACTTTGCTATAGATCTGATTATGNTATCCTCGTGCGGGGCTAGCGGCATGGACTTACTGTCGGGTGGCAGACTGCCTGACCTAGAGCGTGCAGACGACATTGTGCTACTAAGTGAAGATCCAGGTAGGTTACAAGCATTTCTGGATAACTTGAATACCAATGTAGCTATGTTCGGTATGCGTTTTGCACCTTCGAAGTGTAAAATGTTGCTATAAGACTGGGTTGGTCCAGCACCCAGCCTCATTCTAACCGGGGAAGTAATAGAGCAGGTGGATAAGTTTTGTTATTTGGGTATATATTTAACACCGGCTTGAGACCAAGCTTGGCGCCAACGCCATGACAATATTAACAATAACAGCTACATCTCACTCGGTTGGCATTTGCCAACTTGAGACATCTGTCGCACCGTCGCGACATCCGGCTGTCTGTGAAGAATCGAGTGTATGCCGCGACAGTTCGGCCGGTCCTGCTATACGGTGCAGAGACTTGGCCATTAAGAAAACAGGATAAAGACAGTGTCGGTGTTTGAACACCGCTGTCTACGCAGCATTGCACGAATCTGATGAGGCAGCCGGATGAGCAATGCTTAAGTTAGACGCAGAGTTTCGGGTATCCGCGGTCGTCCACTGGAGCAAGTGGTCGACCTCCATAGATTACGTTGTTTGGGACGTGTTACGCATGTCACCAGATAGGTTACCGCGGCAAGCAATGTTCGCCGAAGCAGACACCAAGTGGAAAAAAGCCAAGGGTGGTCAAGCTAAGACCTGGCACGAGGCTATGAAAACCCCAACCGTGAGACTGGGTCAGATAGGTCCTCTTAGGCTCCCTGGCTGGGGACCTCAGGGTGATCGTAAGCGATGGTTAGAGGCACTGAGTGATATGGCTGGGTGTCGCAACCAGTGACGTTCGTGCGACTTCTCAATCTCTTCGCAACCTTAGACTACTGAACTTCTCCATTTTCTTTTCGATCCCACTTTCATGTTTCCTTTCTTCTCCTATTGTTCATCCAAATGGACAGCCAAAAAACAGCAACCAAAACCGGCGCTCGAATATGCGTGGTAAATGGTTGTTCAAACTGAAACTGAAAACTGAATCGAGTTTGTGGGCTTTTCTGCGACCATTGAGTTGGAGAATAAACTGCATCAAAACTGACGCATTATCAGATTCACACAATGATCGCCTGGGCAAGCTTCCGATGTGCTCAGTTTTCCAACTTGTGCATTAAAACCGCCTGCGAGAACATTTATATCGGAGCTTTGGCTCAACCGAATGAGTTCGGTGAGTTTATCATAAAATTGCGTCTCCGACACGCAGCAGATATCAATCCCGACTGAGTCTGTTGTACGCTCCAGACACGCTTGTTGAGCTAGGTGCATTAGATTCCTCACACTGCAGGCCCCCAGATTCAGTGGCTCACGAAGCTTCAGAATATCTGCAGTCCATTTTGTGGTAAACTACTTCCCGGGCTACTTGGCGACGAACTTTGGCAAGTGACCAACAAATTATCTGAGGGAATTTTATGGGTTGGGAGAAGGGGTAAAGAGGGAAGGTTTGGTTACTGAAGATAAAGAGTTAAGCAAAGGTTAGGATATCTGAGCACTAGCCCACTTATCACTACCCACTCCACTCGATGCAATGGACAGCGCGGTCCTGATTATCCTGCGCGACAACCGATGCAGTGTGAAATTATTTTTTGTTTCTGTATGCATTTGAGCTTGATGGACGGGTACTGTCAGGGTGTCCAGCCACTAAGCAGGAGAACGATTAGGGTTCTCGTCCAAAGCCTTAAGTTCTGACAAGAACCTAACCACAAGGTAGCGAGTGAAGCGGACTGGAGACCCATTTACTCCTCCACCATTTTTCGGACTGAAAGGTAAATTCCAGTGGTGGTGGCGCAGTGGTTGGGTCTCTGTCACTGGCAAGCTTTGGACCTTATGGTCGAGCCCCGCCACCGCCACCCAACTTTGGTGGTAGATAGCTTTGCTGTCGTCCGGTTCAATACCACGCCTGACCTATCGGGGCCTTATGTGGTTCTTCATTCCAAGTCCCTTGGCTTAGGTTACCGGTTTTCATAACGGAGCAGCAGGTCTTCGTGACTATGGGGTTCGCTCCGTCTTTTGTTCACCACACAAATGTGTATAAAAAACCTGGAGGACCAGGAGACTGGACTTTGACTTTGACCCATTGACCTTCCAGACATGATTAAATCTTTAGCCTGACAAAAGTTATCCTGTGTAGCTCACAGGGTCATGGAGGTGCACAAGCCATCGAACCACGTCAAGATGCAGTCTAAGCTACAATGAGAAATATAAAAACGCTTTGTTAATAAACGGTGTTATTATGGTATAATTATTCAGTGTAGCGTAATCATAACAATCTTCCGGGATGATGGTTTTAAAGGTGAACACGTTGTTGCTCTCTTATTGGTATTTGCATGTTGTCAAATTCCCGAGGTCAGTTTTCTTACTCTAAACCTTTCGAGTCGAGTCGAAAATCGTCTCGGAAAGCAGTCCTTCTATGAGGTGCATATACTAATCTGTTGTGGTTTGATAAAGAATACCGGGGTAGATGCTTTCAGAGCAAACTGCTCCAGGGATTTGGCGTCCTCTTTTCCACTCGGGAGACGCTTATGAGCTTATTGTGTATTGCAGTTTCAGAGTTCTACTTCCGTCAGAGTGTCATACTTTAAACCGTAAGCGACAACCATGTGAAGTAAGAAAGTGTCATTGCTGAACCTCCGATTAAATGTTGAATGCCCAAAATGCTCAAGCTGTGTTCTGCCATGAGGGCTTGAAGCCCATACCCTGGGGACTTGATCATATAAGTGGCTTGTGATTTCCCGACTGAGGATCTGGTCAACCTAGTCATTCTTTAGAGATATTGGGTGCTGATGGATTTGACTGACTATCCTTCGGACTTCACCTTCACGCACAATCCTCAGCCCATCGATTCGACCATACACTCGGAAGCACTAGAGTCGAGTTTATTAGAGGCCATATTAGGAAACAACGGGGTCTATGCAAATTTGGTTCATCTGCTTTTGGTACTACTTCCTTTACCCCTCGACCAACATGTTGCCGAAAGACTGCAACCAAAACCGGATCGCCGAAATGCAGCGTTATTGGTTGTACCAATCGGAAACTTTTCTTCCGCTGGTTGATCAGATGGTTAGTCCGAAATCCGCAATCTAAGCCGGGGTACGGAGATGCAGGTTTAATGTTTTTAAAAACTGAAAACAGGAGTTGCTCCACCGCAGAGTGTTAGTTTTACTCAACCAGCTGTTAAAATTCTATCCTGCGCCATTTCCATTAATCGTTATCTCGCTTTTGGTTTGATTTCAGACGGCAGCAGACTTAGCTGGCTAATGCATATTCATTTACCTCATGCACTGATTGTTAGATTACAGATCACATTTCTTCCGTTCTTTTCAGTTTTGAGGAGTTCATCTTGTAAAACAAGTTCCACGGACGCGTGTCCCTGAAAAGTTTCCTGTATCATGCGCCTTCATCACCTGCTCCACATCTGTTTTCTTATCAGCGTTTGTGTGGCTGTCAATAGAGATAACTTCAAGACATGTAAACAGAGCTCGTAAGTTTTCTTATTTCTTCTATACATGTGATTCAGGTTCTGTACCCGACAGCGCGGATATACACCAGATGCTGCTTATAAAATAGCTCCTGAGAGTATTAAGATTGCGGACCACGGAATCTCAGCATATTTGGCCAAAGCAGAAGGCAACCAGACACTTGAAATATCCATAGGATATTTAGCCTTTTCGACGTTTCGTGTTACGATTGACGAGGTCAATGCTGAGCGCAAACGTTATCGTCTATCTGCCGGTGATGCGTTACGGCTAGATCCGAAGCTGTATCCAGTAAAAGTGGACCGAACCAGTGACAGTGTGGTACTGTCTGGAAGCAAAAATGAGAAAATGGTGATGAACTTTGACCCGTTTTCTGCTGATTTCTTTCTGGACAATGTTCTTGTGGCGCAACTGAATCGTAGAAATTTGTTCAATTTTGAAAACAAATGGAATAATCTGGAACAAAAGATCGAACCCGCCAAAGCAACTACAGAATCCAATCTGGAAAATACCTTACCCGAGGACACACAGAATTCAGAGAATTTAGAGAATTCAGAGCCCCATGAATCTTCGGATGGTTCTACCTCGGAGGAGCAGCCGAATGATTCTAACCCAGAAGATGTTTCCTCAGACGGTGAGCTCAAAAAGGAAGGGGAAGAAAATACTGGTCACTCAGAGGAAGAGCCACCCGTGGAGCCGATCACAGATATGCCTAAAGAAGATCCATACCCATGGACTGAGTTTTTCAAGGAACACAAAGATCGCCGTCCGTTCGGACCGTCTTCTGTCTCATTAGATGTTGACTTCCTTGGTTTCGTCCACGCTTATGGTATTCCCGAACATGCGGATAATCTGGTGTTGAAACCCACTGATAAAGGTGATCCTTATCGGTTGTACAACTTGGATGTGTTTGAATACGAATTAGACAGCCCCATGGCTCTTTACGGCACGGTCCCTTTGCTTTGGGCGTTGAATCCAAATCACACCATCGGATTGTTTTGGCATAATCCGAGTGAGACATGGATTGATATTCAGTACTCGGAACATCCGACTGATGGATTCCTGGCCAAATTGCCACGATTGTTCTCAAAACCAGAAAGTTACGTAAAAACTAGATGGATGTCTGAATCTGGTGTGATTGATGCGTTCGTCATACTCGGGCATGCACCGTCAGATGTCACGCGTGCTTATGCACACTTGACGGGGACCACACCGTTGCCTCCGTTGTTCGCTCTTGGTTATCATCAAAGTCGGTGGAATTACAATGACCAAGATGACGTTCTGACCGTGGACCAGCAGTTCGACGCGCACAAAATACCGGTAGATGTGATTTGGTTGGATATCGAACATACCGATGGAAAACGCTACTTCACTTGGGATCAGTCCAAATTTCCGAATCCCAGTGAAATGGTTGACAAATTATTGGCAAAAGGTCGAAAACTGGTCACCGTTGTAGACCCGCACATTAAGAAAGATTCCGGTTGGAATATCTATAAGTGAGTTTTTCACTTCCCGACTTCTTAACTTTCTGAGCATACTGCTAATTTGTTAATAACATGATTTCCATGCGGTTAGACTGTATTATTCCAGTTAGACTTGTGTCTGCACGGGGAAATTCAAGCTGGGTAATATTATTTTAAGGGAAAGATTCGCTAAACTCATTGTGAATGAGACTGATCCAGCAATGCTCATTTTCGTGCATATTACTCCTAAGTCTAATTCAATTGTAGCATCAATATTCGATTCAACGACCTTTTGGAATTGTGTTCGGCTGTTGATTAGCATTTTATCTGCTCTTCGGTCACAATTTCCGATTTTCCAGGGATTTTATCACCCATTCACAAAATGTATTCCATGTTACCGATGAAAATTCAACTTTGACTACCATTTACTCCCCATTTTGGAATCTCCTTTTCCTTCTAAACAATGGTAACCGTGAGAAAAATATTTCCAGTCAGATCGTGCTTTAGTAGCTTCATAAATCCCAAGTATTTTCCCGTTTCCAGTTAAACAAATCTACATCGAATTTAGAAGTGAACAGATTTTCTGTGGTTATTTAGTTGTACAACGGTTATTGAACTCGTCAGTCTGAAAAGATTTTCTATAGAAGGAAGAACCTACACGAGATCACGTGATAGTTTATGACCGCTGTCATTTCGATTTCACGCTGTGTTTTATATATATATATATAGGATCGGCTTGTAGATAAGCATGGTGCCAACGCTACAACAATAACAATAACAGTAATAGGGGATAGGTGAATTGGGGTTACAGAACGGAGTGGAAAGAGGGTGAACAGTTAAACACGGGAAAGTGGAAGATAACTGGGTTAACAATTTTTTGTTTTTCACCGTACACTTTTTGATATTTTTAGTGTTGTTTGTTGTTTTTACGGGGCACGGGATTGTGGCAGGCAAACCGTACAGCATTCGCATCAGTGTTATTTCTGTTTTTATCCTCGTCGCTCGTATCACGGAATTTCCCCCATCGAATCCGAAATTGTATGTTTCCGTTCCCGCCAACAATAAATTAGCATATCGGGTTAGGCCAGAATATAAGGCCGTTTTTGCCCATCCCCAATAGAGTTCCTGTTCGTTTTGAATTTTGGACGGCAGTTGAGCGGTGAAAGTCACCAACGTATCGCAGTGGAGGGCCTGTGTTCGAATCCCCTCCACCACCTTACTTTGCCCATTATCCACATATGGCAGCCCCTTGATCGACCGCCTCCCCCTTCCTGAAAGTTGTCATTATAAGGAAACATACGAAATCGAATGAATTGCCATGGGTGATATCCTGCAGAACACATTCACACCTAGTATTCAGTTCTATACGCCTCCGCCCTCAGGGAATGAAGTTGCAAATCTGGAATGTGTCGATGATGATGATGCCGGTACCAATGCTCAAATAATGCATTCCATCCTGAACCTTCTGGCGATTTGGGTGGCTGGTGTTCGAACACTGACAATCTGTTTTTGTCCTGTTCCCGTAATGACCAAGTCTTTGCATCATATAGCAGAACTGACCGAACTGCTACAGCATACACTTGACCCTTCACAGACAGCCGGATGCCACGACAGCGCTATAGATGTCACAAGTTGGCAAATGCCAACCGAGCCTTCTGTATGCGAGCTGACATTTCATCAATGATGCGTCCACCGGATGAGATATAACTGCCGGAATGACAATTTGTCCACTTGCTCTATTAATTCCCCAGTTAGAGTAAGGCTGTGAGCTGGACCAACCCAGTCTTGTAGCAACATTTTACACTTCGAATGTGCAAAACGCATACTGAACATGATTATACGAGCACTCAGACAATCCAGAAAAGCTTCCTACTTCCCCGGATGTTCACTTAGCAGCACAATGTCGTCTGCACAGATCAGAGTCTACCACTCGGTAGCCACTGGACGCCACTATCCTCCCACAAGGATAGGGTTGTTTCCACAATGAAATCTATGACAAAGTTAAGTAGAAAAAGAGAAAGGGAAAGTCTGACGAATACCGCTTTCTACAGTGAACTCCGACAAAGACGTGCCCTAACCTCGGACTCGGTTTCGGCTGCGGCTATTAGTATAAAGGTATCGCAGTATTGAAATAAATAAATAAATAAATAATCGATAATTAATAAATACATAAATTCAGGGAACGGTATCACCAGATTTCATAGCGGTCAACTGAGTCGAAGGTTGTTTGCGATCGAGGAAAACATAGGTGGTCGGTCTATGAGAAGAATGTATATGGTCCAGAATTCGTCGAAGGGTGAAATTATGGTCTATACAACCTCTATGCGGCAGACAATCAAGTATGATGCCAGCGATAAGTTTACAGGTAACGTTGATAAAAAGAATTCACAAGAGGATTTGTCATCTTGTTAATCGATAAGATGACCGATGCACCATTCGGTTGGAACCTCTTCCCTCTCCCACACTGAGCCCAGGAGTTTCGTCTACTCCGAAACCAAGTCTTGACCTCCATCCTTAAAATCCGATGGGAAAAACCCGTCCGGGTCGGAGGCCTCATACCTTTTGACACAACTAATTTCTCTGTAAACCTCGATTTCATTTGGAGAGCGGGCAACAACTGGGAGTACTTGCACAATCGGGGTGTAGGGTGATAGGTCTTATGTCAATGGGAGCTGGTTAAACTGAGACTCGAAATGTTTAGCTGATCGATCAGGTGTTGCTGGATACGAATCAGTGTATCGTCAGACTCCTTAATTTTTTCATTCAGGAATATTTTTCTTGGGCCCGTGTTCCTAATTAGACGGAAAAGAGTTCGACTATCACTAATAGCCGCAGCTACATTTTGTTACCCACCACCTCTCACGGTCATTCCTCAGATACTTGATAAGCTCGCGTTTAAAGGATTCGCGCGCTGTGTCATATGTGGTATTAAGAGGAAAGGTTCCTAGAGCGTTAAAAAGAGCGGCGGAAGTCGACGAGATCCATAGTTTTTGCTTTGACCATTCGCCGCTGTTTTTATCGATATTTGCATAGCTTCTTGGATTTGCTTCCGGTGTTCATTGAGTCTTTCGCTGGTATTTGAACCGTTAGGCGATCGGAGAGTTCCGCTTTCAAGGCCGATTTGTCGCTGATATTATTTGTGTTGTGGGCATCCGTTTCCGGTGGCTTCTCTGTAATTGTTTACCAGACGTAGGGAGAATCTGGCTCCTCGAAGCGCATGGTCCATATCCACGGTTGTTTTGTATTTGTATTTTGTATTTGTATAACTTGTGTAAGCATATATGATTACATTTCAGTTAAAAATGTACACTGTTGACCAGCAAGAGCGGCAGTCTCAAATGGATCCTTGCCAGCGGTAGCTGATGGTGATGTGGTCGATTTGAGTCCATCACTGTGATGAGGTGGGTTGTTTCCAAGTAAGGCAGTGTCGTTTCTTGTGCGAGAAGTTAATGCATGACAGGAACAATTCATGGGCCCCGCGGAGTTGAAGTAGGCGATCTTCGTTTTCCGTCCAGTTGCCTGGATTTACATGTGAGCCACCAGGAAGTCTTTCTGGTTCATCCAGGGATCCCACTTGAGCATTGCAGTCGAACGCTTTAGAGTAATTGAGAAGGGTTATTGTAGAACTCATCCTTGATTTCATGTGCACTGCAATCGGTCGGTGCATACACGGATACGACGAATAAGCAGTCTTTTCGTTCTGTAGCTGCTGACCCGTGTCATGCGGTACTCCAGCAGAGGCAGAAGTTCGGTCTTCCATTCAAGCTCTGAAGCGAGGAAAGGCAGCAGGATCGGATGTTCTCCCTCCCACTCTTTACTACCTTACTACGCAAAATTTGGACGCAAGAGCACATTCCTTCATCGTTGGGCGAATCACTGATCATTCACATTTTCAAGAAAGGATCCCCCAACGATTTCGAAAACCACCGCAGGATAAGTTTGATCCCGATAGTCACCAAGGTGCTAGCTTCGGTTATAGTTCGACGTCTGACGCCTTCAAGGGAGACCAACATCCGTGAACAGCAAAGCGGATTCCGGCCTAGCCGTGAATTTACTGATCAGATTTTTACGTTGTGCCAGATCCTTGGGCTACGTCACACCCACCGTTGGCCAACGATCGCAGTGTTCCTTGACCTGAAAGGAGCCTTCAACTCAGTTGACCGCGAAGCCTTGATGGGTTCCGTTCTTCGAAAAGGAATGCCCCAGAAGTACGTTGACCTACTGAAGTCACTGTACTGACGTACCACTGGTAGTGTAAGGGTTTACAACGAACTAAGTAGGCCGTTCGTCACCAGCAGCGGCGTTCGTCAAGGGTGCCTTCTTTCGCCATTCCTGTTCAATTTCGTCATAGACGAAGTGCTGGACAACACATTTAGTGGTTTCCAAAACATAGGCATTGAATGGGCAGCTGGAGAAAAACTGTGCGATTCGGAGTACGCTGATGATATCGTCCGTTCGAATGTATGGAGGACGCACAAACCCCACTTGATAGATTAACAAGTGCAGTGGCNNCAAAGTGCAAAGTGATGCTGCAGGACTTGGTTTCGTCTACTCCCGCTCTGACACTAAATGGCCAGGATTTAGTCGTGGTGTATTGCTTTTCCTACTTAGGTAGTTACGTGATCAATGACGGTAGCGCACCAAAAGAGATAACTGCCCGCATTTCCGAGGCTCCAGCAGCATACGCAGGACCGAAACACCTTTGGCATAGACGCGACGTTTCACTGAAGTTGAAAGGTCGCGTATAGTGTGTTCAGTCCTGCTTTATGATTGTGAGACCCTGAATTTGCGAGGTATCCGTCGACTGGAAG